CTGTGACGATTTGTGACCTGGGTACTTGTATAGGTCAGGTCTGAATACAATCAGTGTGTACCAATGCCATGTCGATGTGTGACCTGGGTACTTGTATATGGTAGGTCTGAATACAATCAGTGTGTAACCATGCCATGGCAATGTGTGACCTGGGTACTTGTATATGTCAGATTTGAATCCAATCAGCGTGTACCCATGCCATGACAATGTGTGACCTCGGTATTTGGATTTGTGAGGTCTGAATACAATCAGTGTGTACCAATGCCATGGCAATATGTGACCTAGGTACTTGTATATGTCAGGTATGAATACAATCAGTGTGTATCACATACTGTGACGATGTGTGACCTCGGTACTTGTATATGTCAGGTTTGAATATAGTCAGAGTGTACCCAAGCCATGTCGATGTGTGACCTGGGTACTTGTATATGTCATTTGTGAATACAATCAGAGTCTCCACCGATGCCATGGCAATGTGTGACCTGGATACTTGGATATGTCAGGTTTGAATACAATCAGAATATCTACCCATGCCATGACAATGTATGACATGGATACTTTGTATGTCAGGTTTGAATACAAACAGTGTGTACCCATGTCATGGCATTGCGTGACCTGGGTACTTTTTATGTCAGGTCTGAATACTATCAGAGTGTAACCATGCCATGTCGATGTGTGACCTGGGAACTTGTGTATGTCAGGTCTGAAAACAATCAGTATGTATCACATACTGTGACGATGTGTGACCTGGGTACGTGTATATGTAAGGTTTGAATACAATCAGTATGTATCACGTACTGTGACGATTTGTGACCTGGGTATTTGTATATGTCCGGTCTGAATACAATCAGTGTGTACCCATGCCATGTCGATGTGTGACCTGGGTACTTGTATATGTAGGTCTGAATACAATCAGTGTGTAATCATGCCATGGCAATGTGTGACCTGGGTACTTGTATATGTCAGATTTGAATCCAATCAGCGTGTACCCATGCCATGACAATGTGTGACCTCGGTATTTGGATTTGTGAGGTCTGAATACAATCAGTGTGTACCAATGCCATGGCAATATGTGACCTAGGTACTTGTATATGTCAGGTATGAATACAATCAGTGTGTATCACATACTGTGACGATGTGTGACCTCGGTACTTGTATATGTCAGGTTTGAATATAGTCAGAGTGTACCCAAGCCATGTCGATGTGTGACCTGGGTACTTGTATATGTCATTTGTGAATACAATCAGAGTCTCCACCGATGCCATGGCAATGTGTGACCTGGATACTTGGATATGTCAGGTTTGAATACAATCAGAATATCTACCCATGCCATGACAATGTATGACATGGATACTTTGTATGTCAGGTTTGAATACAAACAGTGTGTACCCATGTCATGGCATTGCGTGACCTGGGTACTTTTTATGTCAGGTCTGAATACTATCAGAGTGTAACCATGCCATGTCGATGTGTGACCTGGGAACTTGTGTATGTCAGGTCTGAAAACAATCAGTATGTATCACATACTGTGACGATGTGTGACCTGGGTACGTGTATATGTAAGGTTTGAATATAGTCAGTATGTATCACATACTGTGACGATTTGTGACCTGGGTATTTGTATATGTCCGGTCTGAATACAATCAGTGTGTACCCATGCCATGTCGATGTGTGACCTGGGTACTTGTATATGTAGGTCTGAATACAATCAGTGTGTAATCATGCCATGGCAATGTGTGACCTGGGTACTTGTATATGTCAGATTTGAATGCAATCAGCGTGTACACATGCCATGACAATGTGTGACCTCGGTATTTGGATTTGTCAAGTCTGAATAAAATCAGTGTGTACCAATGCCATGGCAATATGTGACCTAGGTACTTGTATATGTCAGGTTTGAATACAATCAGAGTGTACCCATGCCATGTCGATGTGTGACCTGGGTACTTGTGTATGTCAGTTGTGAATACAATCAGAGTATCTACCCATGCCATGGCAATGTGTGACCTGGATACTTGTATATGTCAGGTTTGAATACAATCAGAATCTCTACCAATGCCATGACAATGTGTCACCTGGATACTTTGTATGTCAGGTTTGAATACAAACATTGTCTACCCATGTCATGGCAATGCGTTACCTGGGTACTTTTTATGTCAGGTCTGAATACAATCAGTATGTATCACATACTGTGACGATGTGTGACCTGGGTACGTGTATATGTCAGGTCTGAATACTATCAGAGTGTAACCATGCCATGTCGATGTGTGACCTGGGTACTTGTGTATGTCAGGTCTGAATACAATCAGTATGTATCACGTACTGTGACGAGATGTGACCTGGGTACTTGTATATGTAAGGTTTGAATACAATCAGTATGTATCACATACTGTGACGATTTGTGACCTGGGTACTTGTATATGTCAGGTTTGAATATAGTCAGAGTGTACCCAAGCCATGTCGATGTGTGACCTGGGTACTTGTTTATGTCAGTTGTGAATACAATCAGAGTCTCTACCCATGCCATGGCAATGTGTGACCTGGATACTTGTATATGTCAGGTTTGAATACAATCAGAATCTCTACCAATGCCATGACAATGTGTCACCTGGATACTTTGTATGTCAGGTTTGAATACAAACATTGTCTACCCATGTCATGGCAATGCGTTACCTGGGTACTTTTTATGTCAGGTCTGAATACTATCAGAGTGTAACCATGACATGTCGATGTGTGAGCTGGGTACTTGTGTATGTCAGGTCTGAATACAATCAGTATGTATCACATACTGTGACGATGTGTGACCTGGGTACGTGTATATGTAAGGTTTGAATATAGTCAGTATGTATCACATACTGTGACGATTTGTGACCTGGGTACTTGTATATGTCAGGTCTGAATACAATCAGTGTGTAACCATGCTATGGCGATGTGTGACCTGGGTACTTGTGTATGTCGGTCTGAATACAATCAGTGTGTATCACATACTCTGACGATGTTTGACCTGTGAGCTTGTATATGTCAGGTTTGAATATAGTCAGAATGTATCACATACTGTCACGATGTGCGACCTGGATACTTGTATATGTTAAGTTCGAATACAATCAGAATCTCTACCCATGCCAAGGCAATGTGTGACCTCGGTACTTTTATATGTCAGGTCTGAATACAATCAGAGTGTACCCATACCATGGAGATGTGTCACCTGGGTACTTGTGTATGTCAGTTGTGAATACAATCAGATTCTCTACCCATCCCATGACAATGTGTTACCTGGATACTTGTATATGTCAGGTTTGAATACAATCAGTGTGTACCCATGTCATGGCAATGCATGACCTCGGTACTTGTATATGTCAGGTCTGAATACAATCAGAGTGTACCCATATCATGGAGATGTGTCACCTGGGTACTTGTGTATGTCAGTTGTGAATACAATCAGAATCTCTACCCATGCCAAGACAATGTGTGACCTGGGTACTTGTATATGTCAGGTCTGAATACAATCAGTGTGTATCACGTACTGTGGCGATGTGTGACCTGGGTACTTGTATATGTAAGATTTGAATATAGTCAGGATGTATCACATACTGTCACGATTTGTGACCTGGGTACTTGTATATGTCAGGTCTGAATACAATCAGTGTGTACCCATGTCATGGCAATGCATGACCTCGGTACTTGTATATGTCAGGTTTGAATACAATCAGAGTGTACCCATGCCATGGAGATGTGCGACCTGGATACTTGTATATGTCAGGTTTGAATATAATCAGAATCTCTACCCATGCCAAGACAATGTGTGACCTCGGTACTTGTATATGTCAGGTCTGAATACAATCAGTGTGTATCACGTACTGTGGCGATGTGTGACCTGGGTACTTGTATATGTAAGATTTGAATATAGTCAGTGTGTATCACGTACTGTGACGATTTGTTACCTGGGTACTTGTATATGTCAGGTCTGAATACAATCAGAGTGTACCCATACCATGGAGATGTGTCACCTCGGTACTTGTGTATGTCAGTTGTGAATACAATCAGACTCTCTACCCATGCCATGACAATGTGTGACCTGGATACTTGTATATGTCAGGTTTAAAATACAATCAGTGTGTACCCATGTCATGACAATGCATGACCTCGGTACTTGTATATGTCAGGTCTGAATACTATCAGATTGTAACCATGTTATGTCGATGTGTGACCTTGGTACTTCTGGATGTCAGGTCTGAATACAATCAGTATGTATCACGTACTGTGACGATTTGTGACCTGGGTACTTGTATTTGTCAGGTCCGAATACACTCAGTGTGTAACCATGCTATGGCGATGCGTGACCTGGGTACTTGTATATGTCAGGTCTGAATACAATCAGAGTCTCTCCCCATGCCATATCAATGTGTGGCCAGGATACTTGTATATGTCAGGTTTGAATACAATCAGAGTGTACCCATGCCATGGAGATGTGTGACCTGGATACTTGTATATGTCAGGTTTGAATATAGTCAGTATGTATCACATACTGTCACGATGCGCGACCTGGATACTTGTATATGTTAGGTTTGAATACAATCAGAATCTCTACCCATTCCAAGACAATGTGTGACCTCGGTACTTGTATATGTCAGGTCTGAATACAATCAGTGTGTATCACATACTGTGGCGATGTGTGACCTGGGTACTTGTATATGTAAGATTTGAATATAGTCAGTGTGTATCACATACTGTGACGATTTGTGACCTGGGTACTTGTATATGTCAGTTGTGAATACAATCAGTGTGTACTGTCGTAACTGGTTTTGGGGGTCCAGTGCGACCCTGCTACAGTTACTAAGTGTATTGCCGTTCCTGGTCCTTGTGGTCAATTAAGCCAGGACATTGCCCTCGCCTTGTCCACCACGGCTCGGTTCCGTCAAGGAGTGATTGGTCTAACGACCCTTACTCCAAGTTGTCTCTAGCAGCATTCACACACGCATAATAAAGAAACGCAACACCAGTTTATACTCACATAGTTTTACTTACTCTCAGCCCATCTGACAATACAGGACAGGATCAGACTGGCCAGGCTCGTCACTAGCTGGTGGAAACTTAGAACGATCGGGATTCGACTCGATCGACTGTAAACCGCGCACCACTCTCCTAATGTTGAGGGTATCATTTTATAGTGTTCGAGCCTGACCTGTCCTTGTCACATGTCTCAATATCTCCATTTGATTCGTTACAAGTTTATATCTGACCATGAACTCATGTGTGTCACCATCGGAAAAATACCAAAACCCTACGCGCTAGATTGCTCATCTCTCTATTGATTTCGTGACTCGCTCCGAAGCTCCAAATGGATTATACCTTGTAATTACCCATTTGTTTCATTAACTCATGGATAAAAGCCAGAGACCAATCCAATGATAAATGTGAAATGTCTTTCTCTATTGATTCCCTTCCAGTTACCAGTTCTGTCACGAACTATATCTACTGGGTTCTATTTATCATCATTCGTTTCTGAGGTGCATTTTTAACCTTATAACATCCTCCGCCTGTGGACAAGAGCTGCCCACAGCTCGGAAGATCTAAGCATGAGTTCCGGTCTGAGATATAAAATACAATCACAACAAACATAATGGAAGTAAAACAGGATCGATCATTATATATATGAAATAGTAATCAATTTTCAAATGTTATAAAGATTTCGAAAACAACGAATACTTTTACAGTTAAAAATGTATTTACCTGGCAAAGAAGAAGTTAATGATCCTGTGTTATTTCGTATAACCACAAAGCATAAACACCATGAAATATTATTCAAATACCATGTAGAATTAATTAATAGCGATGCATAAAAGTCAAATGTCACTGCACATGGCCACAATAAGGCACCACCATTCACTAAAGTTCATTAGTCGCTGGTCCCAATCGAATTCACTGGCTCCTTTCTTGTTTCGAAAAGTCAATTGGCGAAACGCTGTCCAACGTTCTTGAATCCTTGAAAACACGCGGTCTATGCACACAGTCAGGTCCTCGGCTGGAGTGGCAAAGCGAGAGGTCGACTTTTCTAGACACTGCTTGAGTGTTGACTGGTCGCTCTCTAAAGATGTTGTATGCCGACAGAGTTACAGTGTATATGCGGTCGTCGTGAGCACCTGTAGCTGTAGACGTCGGGGTGCTGACAGATATAGATAACTCTCTGTTGCCTGCGTTTTGTGTCTAGCGGCAGAGGTGATAGGACAGCGTTCATCCTTGACAGCAAGCGTGGAGCCAGAAGCCAGATTAATTATTTGGCGTGGACCAGACGACAGCGGGGGAAGTGCTTGACTCTCCGCCCTTTAGAATGGGGTACGGCCATCATCTACAACACTTAAAAATACTGGTAATTCACGAACAACAAGTGACTAATACCATACCAATTATAGAAATATCAATACATAGAACGATGTGCCACCTGCAGCTCAGACTGCTGCCCGTAAAAATAAGACTATGTACACAATAATAGTCTTCTGGCATATGCATATCTGCATATAAGGATGATAACGGCAGGAATCGAATGTTTGGATTAATTGTTACAGGTCCAATTGCGTAGCCACATATTATCATAAAAAGACATTGATAAGCACGATCAAATCGCAAAACTTATGGACTGCTTGAACAGTACAGTCGGACTAACTATCATAAAATTCTAATCAACAACATTCAGCAAATGCTTTGTAGCTAATAACACCAAAACGAACAACATATATAATTATTATGGGGTGGACTGAGAGCACACATTGAAACACCGATAGTAACTGTACCTAGCAAGTAATATAGAAGATACACAATACCAGAATAATGTAACGTATTGTCACCAAGTGACCATCATATGACCATCATATGAGAGAAACCAATTCCAAATACAGGTCTTGTCTCTACAGAAAAGTAATTCATTCAATATTGTAATTCATTCAATACCCTACTGACTATGATGCTGAGGGTAACGAGTGGCCTGTCGTTAAAAGGCTGGGATTTAACAAAGACAATAAATTATGAAGTAATACGTGCCATAATATCCTATTTGGGCAACGAAAACCATTATCATTATTTCAAGGCAGCCGGCCAAAGTGGAGAGATCAACAGGGCTTAAAGAAACCTCAGAGGAACTGAGCTCAAAGTTAATCATGTCAGAGGTAACGGAAAAGCGACTCCACAATGTTGAAGTACCATAAACACACCTGTCGTGGAAGGAAGGAATCGTTTTAAACGAAACGCCATTAGCCAACTTACATAAATTTTTCCCGAAATATATATAGATTGTGTCGGGGTTTGAATTTGCAAATTGTGACAATCAAACAGTAAATAATAAGTGAGGAATACCCGCTGAATACGAAAATTAGTTAAAGGATTTCCAGCCGTTAACGTGAGGTCTCGGGGACAAAGATAAAATTGTGAGACCATAATTTCATGACAAGCAAAGGAATTTGTCAAATGTAAAACCAGTGACGTAACCGGTCGATTGACATTTTTCATACTTCGAAAAAGCAAAATGAATACCAGAAATACTGTCGATATGATCAGAAAAACATCCATGGAAATAGTGGATTTAATCAACGACATAAATGAAGGAGGGGGATAATTTGGATAGGGTGTAGTTTGATGTGTTTTCCAAATTGTCAAACCGTCAGTTGGGGAGCCTGCTGTAAGTAAGGTCAATGCAAAAAATAAGCGTCGAACTTTAATCCATAAGAAAAGAACGACTATTAAGAGAAACAGGGATAAACCCGCGGCTATGCTTGCCGTTAAGTGATATGGGTTGGTTAAATCCCCATCTAAAGCGTAAGGTGGGAGGGAATCCATCCAATTACCATCAATTAAATTATCCGAAATGACCTGTGCCTTTTTCATACGTTGAGAAATAAGGCGTAAATCAACTTGAAATTCTGTGTCCTTTCTACGAATTTCATCGAAAACTTTATCATCAATTAATAAATGTAGGATCTTAAAAGCGGAATCTTTCAGAAGGGGCTGTAAACTATCAATGTTTTTCAAGATGGATGCATTAAAAAATTCCGATAAAAGTAAAAGATTAGGTGGGTATAATTTTGAAGCAGTTGACTTTTCACACATGTATGAATTCTCATGTCTATGTCGAATTCATCCAGTTTCAACGCACAGTAACAAGGAATTTTAAATATACAAATCTGACAAGCTGGACGCTTCTCAATGCGACCCTTGCACGTTAATATTATGGTTTTTATGCCAGTTAAAAGAATTGTGCCTGGTTGAATTTCGAGAGCCATTGAACGTAGCCCATTTAATCGGAATTTTGTATCACACAAGGATTTAATTTCTTGTGTGTCTTTAGTAAACAAAGCAAGTGCGCATGTGAGCGATGTTGTTGGTTTCGGACTGTGAAAAATTGGACAGTGTTTTTCGTGTTCACCATAACATGTTTGAAAATCCCTAGCCGAAAATTCAATATACTGATCTTTAGCCTCCGAAACAGCAAGATAATCTGGTAAATTCATAACCTGAGTGACATGCGTACTTGATTGATTAAATGGTAAGCCAAAAGAATTTATTCGATATACATCAAGGAGGGTAGAATGAGTCTGGATAGGAACAATAAGCGAAATTAAAATTGAATCTGAATTCCGAGAACAGTGAACAGTGCGTTCCCGATAATAATAACCTGGATCCTTATGTGCAACGTGAAACAACGGGTATTCTGCATTTAGACGTTTTTGAATCATTTTTAACGCTCTCTTTACTTCCGAAACTGGGAGTAAAGATGGACTCAATCGTTGATTAACTAACTGTTGAATGCCTAAATACATTTCATCAATTTCTTGTCTAATAGTAGTTAGGAACGTGAGGCGATCTAACAAGATTTTCATTGTGATAAAAATAAATCTTTCCACATCTTGTATTTGTTTAGTGACAAGTTTAATATCTTTATGGTTCGTTTCAATACCCGCGAGCGCGGATGAAATGCGTTCATTTGTTTTAGTCATAAATGACGACATCTGACGAACTTGGACTTGAAAAGCACGAGAAGTATTAGCAGCATGCAACGACAATTGTTTAACATACCGCGCCAGTCGGTCAACATCCTCGACTGTAGCAGTACCAAACAGCGAACGACTTATTGATCCAATAAAAGGAAGTATCGCCCGTTTAGTGCGGGAATCCTTGTGAAAAATGTTAATATGGGGAATTAAAAGGTTAATGTCTCTATGGACATTTGTCCAATACGCGAACAACTCTCGTTCGGCCTTTTCTATATATCCATCCATCGCCGAAACGGTATGACAAGCCAAAGTATTTGTGGAACAAAAGTCTCGATATCTTGATCTATTGCCCATTCCATCTAAATCAGGCAATTTATATTGAAAGATATGAATCCATTTATTCTGGGAAATGTCGATTCGTGACATATGTACGAAGACAACTCCCCATGGAAGTCGGAGTTCCGTATGCACGGAATTAACCCGATTCTGGATGCTAACCAACGCGATGACAATGAATAAGACCCATACTGGTCGGAGGAGGCCTCTGGATTCTAAAATTCAAAGAAATAAGTGTATAAACATAATTATTAACTTCAAACTAAATATCATAGATCACTCATGTTTTGTAAGAAAAGGTTTCCATGCCTTGTGAAACCTAGTAACTGTCTGATTGTATTCATCTCGAATCTTCACTCGCTGACTGTATCTAAGAAGCATGATAACAATTGTCACAAGTAGGTAATATATAATCTCACACTGGGAACCGTGCGAGTAAGCAACATCCAACAAGAGTGAACTTCTTTTACAGTATCAACATATATCATCACAACATTATTTATTGTCTCGTTTTTGTATTCCACGTCACATGACGGTATTCAGTTCACATGACTGTATCTCAATTCCCATCATCGTATATCACTTCACAGTATTTGTAACCGTATTGTATAATCATGCGACCCGTAGTCGTCATTTCACGTATATTGTAACTCATTTGTATTCTCGTATATACACACAAAGCGAACTTGCTTTATAGTGGCCTGCGAAATACATGTGCAGCCAGAATCATCTCGTAGAAGGAGTATTTAACCATGCGACCCGTAGTCGTCATTTCTCATATATTGTAACTCATTTGTATTCTCGTGGCCCGCGAAATACATGTGCGGCCATAACCCATGAACATGATTTGTTTTCTTCTATGTCAACCAACACATCACTGTAAATAATCCGAGTATTCGGAGTATTCAAAACACAATATTTTACGATAACAAGACACATTTTCAACATATATGCACGATTGTATTTTCCTATAACCTTGTGACAATTGAATCATCTAACAATGTAATAACGATCTATAGCATGTGCTAGCTCCATGCATATAGCATCATGTAATTCGAAACCTGAAATAAACACATGCAAAAATCAATATTAGGTTGATCAGTCCTCAATACGAAATCTGCAGTGCTGTAACTGAAAAGGAAACGAAATATAACAATTAATTTGAAACGCTATTCAAAATATCTTTTGAAATTTCTAACGCTTACGCTTCTTTTTTAATGACTTCTGGATCATGTAACCACGAATCAATCCTTGAGGGATATTAGATTCGGGTTCCCATGTAGCCTCCTGTAACGTGAAATTTTCCCAGTGAATCTTGTAGTACTTTTCTCCATTCACTATTTTATGCGCCAAGATTCGTTTTACTATGAAAACGTCATCCTCCTGTAAATCAAAACCGGGATTCTGTGCCTGCTTTGGGGTTAATGTCTGAGGCGTCGGGGTGGTCATTTCCGTATGATTGTTGTCAGATTGAGACAGAATCGTTTGGTTGTCCGTAGCAACAACTGGAATTGGGTTAGTTGGTCTATCTTTCGGGTTGACAAACCGTTTAAGCCGGTTCGCGTGGACCGGAACTTTCAGGACTTTGTGATCCTTACAACGGCGTAACTTATAGGTGAAATGTGGCAGTTCATCCGCAATGTAAAAAGGTCCTTGGAATATCTGGCCTAGCTTTTTACATTTCCCAACAGCCCGTGCCGTGGAATGAAGCCATACTTTATCACCGAGCTGGAAAATGGGATTTGAGGTGTTCCTGTCATAGTAATATTTGGCTTTGTTGTGAGCCTCTTGTAAATTGGTACGCGCCAATTTTCTAGTTACGTCTATATGATGTAAAATTACATCAAGCCGTTGCTTAATTGTTTGTGGGAGGGGTTCAAATGATTGTAATTCAACATCAACGGGTACTGAGCATTCTTGACCAAACAGGAGAAAGTAGGGGGAAAATCCAGTACTCTGCGTTGCCGGGCTAGTGTTATAGGCAAACATCACACTAGGGAGAAGCTCATCCCAATTGTCCTGGTTATCATTGATAAACATGCGGAGCGTTTGCACGATAAACGAATTGAGTCTTTCACAAGCTCCGTTAGTTTGTTGGTGATAACTACTAGTTTTCAATGGTTTGATCCCCAATATTGAACACACCGCTGTAAAAAGTTTGCTGGTAAAGGAAGTGCCATTATCAGTCAATAACACTCTGGGAATCCCATAAACGCAAATGTATTTTGAGTAGAATGTCTTGGCTACTTCCACAGCCTCCAACGAGGAAATCGGAATAGCCACGCTCCATCGGGAAAAGGCGCAGGTTAACAAAAAAACATACCTATGACCTGCTTTTGTGGGTGGTAACGGCCCTAGGAAGTCAGCTTGAACACGATCAAACAATTTACCAGGGACTGGTAATGGTTGTAATGGGGCAGGTCTCTTGTGAAAGTCACGTTTATTTGTTTGACAGGCAGTACATGACAAAATATACTGCTTTATGTCCTCCAGCATGTGATGCCAATAGTACTTCTGTCTAATAGCATTGAATGTTCTGTCAATACCAACATGTCCAGCTAACAAGCTGTCATGGTATGCTTGTAAAACTTGTTGTACCAACGACTGAGGTATCACCAGTTGACGAATGATTCTGTCGTTCCTATGGCCCCGGCCGGGCGGCGCATATAAGTGGTACAATATGTCATTGTCAAGGATAAAATCCTGGCTTTGTAACAATAATGTACGTGTGGCCTTGTCATCAGTAGAAAAGGTTTGAGACTTAATGCAATCAATCAGCGCCCGTAGTTTATGGTCGTCATATTGCCTCTGTGCTATGGAGTAATCTCCTAGGGGGTCGGACGATACACTGAGAGGGTCGTCAATTGTGGAGGCATCATACAACTCTGATGTAACGTCTGTTGCAGGCACAATCGTTATTTGGTCGCCTTGGTCATCGGACGTGGCGATATCATTGTCTGTACTGTTCGTATCAGTAGCAAACAAATAGGGGATATCTGAAAGTGGGTCATCTACATGTAACTCTGGAGGGCATTCTGGGTAAGGCAATCTGGACAAGAAATCTGCGTTACCCAAGTTTTTGCCTGGTCGATACTGAACCGTGAACGTGTAATCACTCAATAAGAGTGACCAGCGGCTCAGTCTGGCTGAGCGGTCCTTATTGTCTTTCAAATACTGTAAAGCTCTGTGATCTGTCACTACAGTAAATGGGGCATGTGTCAAATATACCTTGAAATGTTTGATACCTGATACTACTGCTAAACATTCTTTTTCTGTAATTCCATAGTTTTTCTCTGTTTTTGACAGAGCACGACCACTGTAGGCTATTACCACGTCTCTGTTTTCGGCATCCGTTTGACCGAGCAAATACCCTAGAGCGTCATCACTAGCATCTGTGTATAGGATAAATGGTTTTTCAAAATCTGGGAATGCCAAGATTGGTGGTTTTAGCAAAGCAGATTTGAGGGTTTGAAATGCCTGTTCTTGTGCTTCCGTCCAAACAAATTTAGTATCCTTTTGCAACAACGAATGTAAAGGAGCTGCTACTTTGGAGAAACTTAGAATGAAGCGACGATAAAATCCTACCATTCCGAGAAAACTTTTAACGTCTTTTGGCGTTTTTGGCGTCGGAAACGAAGCTATCACGCTAGTTTTTTCAGGGTCTACTTGTACTCCACTATTGGAAAAAATATGTCCCAAGTAAGCAACTGACAGTTTAGCAAATTGGCATTTTGATGGTTTCGCTTTCAAATTTGCGTTGCGTAGGCACAAAAATACTTCTTCTAAATCTGCCAAATGTGTCTCAAAATCCGAGGAGAAGCACAAAACATCATCTAAATAGCACATTGTTTTACGCCAATTTAGATTGCGGAAAACGTCATTGATCAGTCTTTGAAATGTTGCTGGGGCAGAGGCCAGACCAAAGGCCATACGATTGAAGTGATAGGTACCACTAGCTGTCACAAATGCACTTTTGGGTTTACTTTCTTCATTCAGCGCTAATTGCCAATATCCCGCTGCCAGATCTATGGTTGTGTAATATTTTGCATGTGCTGTGCCCAAAACATCAAGAACATCTTCTAATCTCGGCATTGGGAATACTATCGGCAATGAGCACGAATTCACGACTCTGTAGTCGATGGCTAGACGCCATGATGGCGGAGAACCCTTAGCCTGTTTCTTAGGCACCATAACAACTGGAGAAGCCCAGGGGCTATCATGATCTTGTTCACATATGCCTAAGTCTACCAACTCCTGAACTTGACGATCTATCTCTGCACGCATAGCAGGATTTGTACGGTAAAATCGTTGCCTAACGGGTGGGGCATCTCCTGTAGCTATATCATGTTGCACTGAATCATTTAACCCAATTTCTGAGAGATTAATGGCAAAACAGTCGCGATACCTGGCGATCAACTGACCTATTTGTGCTTGTTGCTCCTGTGACAAGTGGGATGAAGAAAAATCAATATTCAACTCACGTAATCTCGCGTCTATTTCTGACTGAGAGAGGGAGGGTTCCGATTCGGAGGGGGAATGTGACTGTAGAGGCGTAATTTCATCGCAGTGTACCAAAGTGAAATGAGCAACTTCATGACCTTTTGGAATGTCCACAGCAAAATCGTTAGTGTTAATGATTTGGTACACGCTTTTCCCTGAACTTGCCGAAACAAGACAACGAGCACCTAAAACCTGATGTGTTTCCGATAGGACTGGGTTAGGTTCACTTATGCCTACCTGATCAGACGGGGAGCAACCCATGTAAACTGGGAAAATGATTTCAGACTGAGGGGGAATTGTGAATGCCTGCAGTGCTCGAACTGGGATGGGTTCCTGCTCTACCATCTGTGGATGGGGATCCGATACGAGGGGTGGGATATCATTGTTCGCCCAAATTGGAACAACTGTGGAGCCATTATGAAGCGACAAAGTACAAGATTGGAAATTTAAGACAGCATCTTTCTGAATCAGAAAATCTAATCCTAAAAACATTGGTGACGTTAACTCTGCAACTATTTGAAAGCGCTGTTCCATGTGGGAATCACCAATAGTGATGGGAAGGAACACTTGTCCTAATACTGGCACAATATTTTGACCTATTCCCTGAAGAGAGGTCACATCAGACTTTTGAATGGGGATTTCTTTCCACAGACCCGAGTCATAAAAAACTTCCCGACTTAAAATACTAATAGAAGCGCCTGAATCCACAATTGTAGAAACTAATTGTTCACCCAAAATAACATGAATCCTATGCTTGTTGTCATTTTTTGAAGTGACTTGTAAAACAGGCGATTGAGGACGACTGTAACTTGGTAAAATAGTAACTGGCGACTCACGCGAGTGCAAATTAGTGGGGTCAAAAACATGCTCAGCACAGTGGCAAGGTGGCCTTCGTGGTCGTGAATTTAATTGCTATCTGCTTTGAGGAGCTCCGGACTGCAACCGGGCATTACAAACACGCTGCCAATGTCCTACTCTCTGACAATAATGACACCTTGCATTACGTGCGGGACATCTATCAGGGTGAGAGAAATCATACTCACCACCGCATCTGTAACAGGGGCGTGCCCGAGCCATGGTCCGTCCCGTGTTGTACTGTGTGCGTTGAGGAGGGGGCTGGCTTCTCTGCTGGTGTGGTCCGTCCGGATACGAGAGTGGCTGGAACTGCTGTCGGGGAGGCTGCCACGGCCGAGTTGAATACCTAGAGGACTGTCTGGGGGGTTGGGAATATCGATTCTGTCGTGACTGGAAGGTATTAACCTGGGACGACGATGGTGCGAGCTTTGCCGCGAGTGTAGCAATCTGGTCTCTTAGAGTATCGATTGCCAACTTGACACCTGTATTTTCTGCAATTTGAGGGATTATGGATCGAGCCAAACGTGCAAACGAAACAGCTTCGTTCAGAGCCGTCGGCTGCTTCATTAGCACGTGTTGCCTCGTACCGTCATCCAGTCCCCGAACAAATGCATCCATCAAGTCCATGTCAGTCTTACCTAATAGGCTAGCTGTTTGGGTCAAATCCGCTAAATACGTGTCTATAGGCTCAGTTGGGGATAACCTACGACTCACGAAAGATTCTAGAAGGGCCCACCGGTCAGTTGGGTGGACGTACTTGTCCCTGAATAATCTCTCTACTTCATCGAAAATGACGATTTCTTCCCCTAGCGATGGTATAAGATCTTTATACCAGAGATACGCCGAGTCCTTCAAAAATAGTGGGAAAACTTCTACTTTCTGTGCGTCAGTCCACTTTTTAAAGTTTCCAAAATGAAGGAAACGGTCAAGCCATTCAGCAGCATGGGTCGTGTCTCTACCAGTGAAATGTTCTGGCATCAAGGTCGAATCTCCCATATTGAAGTCAGGGGTTGGATTTTGTGCCTCGGGGCCTGAGGACGAACTTAGTGAGGAAACGTCAGGGAGAACACAAGCGTACTGATGTAAAAGCTCGTCGGTAGAGGGTGATAAGTCCAAACTATGGTCAGAAATAGTGGGCGAGGAGGGTTCCTGGGGAGGAGGGGGCGGTGGGGGTGATTGGGAGGGCGGTTGAGTTATGACAACTCGGGGGGAATTCGAGAAAATCGTACCAGTAAGGAGGCGAGTGGGGGCAAGACGGTCACTTGACGTAGATGCAGAATTTGGTGTATGAGACATTACCAGACATTACCAGCCAGAATACCCTATCCATGCGTCAAAGGTGAAACCGTACCTTCAAAAATAAGTCAAGGTGGGAAGACGGAATTGAAGGATGGGAACGACAATACGAAAAACAAAGAATGGGATCGTCTTAAACATTTTGTTCAAGAGAAAACCCGCAATCTCCACCATGTCGTAACTGGTTTTGGGGGTCCAGTGCGACCCTGCTACAGTTACTAAGTGTATTGCCGTTCCTGGTCCTTGTGGTCAATTAAGCCAGGACATTGCCCTCGCCTTGTCCACCACGGCTCGGTTCCGTCAAGGAGTGATTGGTCTAACGACCCTTACTCCAAGTTGTCTCTAGCAGCATTCACACACGCATAATAAAGAAACGCAACACCAGTTTATACTCACATAGTTTTACTTACTCTCAGCCCATCTGACAATACAGGACAGGATCAGACTGGCCAGGCTCGTCACTAGCTGGTGGAAACTTAGAACGATCGGGATTCGACTCGATCGACTGTAAACCGCGCACCACTCTCCTAATGTTGAGGGTATCATTTTATAGTGTTCGAGCCTGACCTGTCCTTGTCACATGTCTCAATATCTCCATTTGATTCGTTACAAGTTTATATCTGACCATGAACTCATGTGTGTCACCATCGGAAAAATACCAAAACCCTACGCGCTAGATTGCTCATCTCTCTATTGATTTCGTGACTCGCTCCGAAGCTCCAAATGGATTATACCTTGTAATTACCCATTTGTTTCATTAACTCATGGATAAAAGCCAGAGACCAATCCAATGATAAATGTGAAATGTCTTTCTCTATTGATTCCCTTCCAGTTACCAGTTCTGTCACGAACTATATCTACTGGGTTCTATTTATCATCATTCGTTTCTGAGGTGCATTTTTAACCTTATAACAGTACCCACGCCATGTCGATGTGTGACCTTGGTACTTGTATATGGTAGGTCTGAATACAATCAGTGTGTAACAATGCCATGGCAATGTGTGACCTGGGTACTTGTATGTGTCAGATTTCAATGCAATCAGTGTGTACCCATGTCATGGCAATGCGTGAGCTCGGTACTTGTATATGTCAGGTCTGAATACTATCAGAGTGTAACCATGCCATGTCGATGTGTGACCTGGGTACTTGTGTATGTCAGGTCTGAATACAATCAGTGTGTATCACGTACTGTGGCGATGTGTGACCTGGGTACTTGTATATGTAAGATTTGAATATAGTCAGTGTGTATCACGTACTGTGACGATTTGTGACCTGGGTACTTGTATATGTCAGGTCTGAATACAATCAGAGTGTACCCATACCATGGAGATGTGTCACCTCGGTACTTGTGTATGTCAGTTGTGAATACAATCAGACTCTCTACCCATGCCATGACAATGTGTGACCTGGATACTTGTATATGTCAGGTTTAAAATACAATCAGTGTGTACCCATGTCATGACAATGCATGACCTCGGTACTTGTATATGTCAGGTCTGAATACTATCAGATTGTAACCATGTTATGTCGATGTGTGACCTGGGTACTTCTGTATGTCAGGTCTGAATACAATCAGTATGTATCACGTACTGTGACGATTTGTGACCTGGGTACTTGTATATGTCAGGTTTGAATATAGTCAGTGTGTATCACATACTGTGACGATGTGTAACCTGGGTACTTGTATATGTCAGGTTTGAATACAGTCAGTGTGTATCACATACTGTAACGATGTGTGACGTGGGTACTTGTATATGTCAGGTTTGAATATAGTCAGTGTGTATCACATACTGTGACGATGTGTGACCTTGGTACTTGTATATGTCAGGTCTGAATACAATCAGAGTCTCTACCCATGCCATGGCAATGTGTGACCTCGGTACTTGTATATGTCAGGTTTGACTACAATCAGAGTGTACCCATGTCATGGCGATGGGTGACCTGGATACTTGTATATGTTAGGTTTGAATACAATCAGAATCTCTACCCATGCCATCACAATGTGTGACCTGGATACTTGTATATGTCAGGTCTGAATACAATCAGAGTGTACCCATGCCATGTCGATGTGTGACCTGGGTACTTGTTTATGGTAGGTCTGAATACAATCAGTGTGTAACCATGCCATGTCGATGTCTGACCTGGGTACTTGTATATGTCAGATTTGAATATAATCAGTGTGTACCCATTCAATGACAATGTGTGACTTCGGTGTTTGGATTTGTCAGGTCTGAATACAATCAGTGTGTACCCATGCCATGGCAATATGTGACCTAGGTACTTGTATATGTCAGGTTTGAATACAATCAGAGTGTACCCATGCCATGTCGATGTGTGACCTGGGTACTTGTGTATGTCAGTTGTGAATACAATCAGAATCTCCACCCATGCCATGGCAATGTGTGACCTGGATACTTGTATATGTCCGATTTGAATACAATCAGAATCTTTACCCATGCCATGACAAAAAGTGACCAGGGTACGTGTATATGTCAGATCTGAATACAATCAGAGTGTCTACCCATGTCATGACAATGTGTGACCTTGGAACTTGTATATGTCAGGTTTGAATACAATCAGTGTGTACCCATGTCATGGCAATGTGTGACCTGGGTACTTGCATATGTCAGGTCTGAATACAATCAGAGTAAACCCATGCCATGGCGAAGTGTGACCTGGGTACTTGTATATGTCAGGTCTGAATACAATCAGAGTGTACCCATGCCATGGCGCTGTATGACCTGGGTACTTGTATATGTCAGGTCTGAATACAGTCAGAGTGTACCCATGCCATGGCGATGTGTGACCTGGATACTTGTATATGTCAGGTCTGAATACAATCAGAGTGTACCCATGCCATGGCGCTGTATGACCTGGGTACTTGTATATGTCAGGTCTGAATACAGTCAGAGTGTACCCATGCCATGGCGATGTGTGACCTGGATACTTGTATATGTCAGGTTTGAATACCATCAGAGTGTACCCATGCCATGGCGATGTGTGACCTGGATACTTGTATATGTCAGGTTTGAATACCATCAGTGTGTACCCATGTCATGGCGATGTGTGACCTGGATACTTGTATATGTCAGGTCTGAATAGAGTCAGAGTGTACCCATGCCATGGCAATGTGTGACCTGGATACTTGTATACGTCAGGTTTGACTACAATCAGTGTGTACCCATGTCATGGCAATGTGTGACCTTGGTACTTGTATGTGTCAGGTCTGAATAGAATCAGAGTGTATCCATGCCATGTCGATGTGTGACCTTGACACTTGTATATGGTAGATCCGAATACAATCAGTGTGTAACCATGCCATGGCAATGTGTGACCTGGGTACTTTTATGTGTCAGATATGAATACAATCAGAGTGTACCCATGCCATGTCGATGTGTGACCTGGGTACTTGTGTATGTCAGTTGTGAATACAATCAGAGTCTCCACCCATGCCATGGCAATGTGTGACCTGGATACTTGTATATGTCAGGTTTGAATACAATCAGAATCTCTACCCATGCCATGACAATGTGTCACCTGGATACTTGTATATGGTAGATCCGAATACAATCAGTGTGTACCCATGTCATGGCAATGCGTGACCTCGGTACTTGTATATGTCAGGTCTGAATACTATCAGAGTGTAACCATGCCATGTCGATGTGTGACCTGGGTACTTGTGTATGTCAGGTCTGAATACAATCAGTATGTATCACGTACTGTGACCACGTGTGACCTGGGTACTTGTATATGTAAGGTTTTAATATAGTCAGTATGTATCACATACTGTGACGATTTGTGACCTGGGTACTTGTATATGTCCGGTCTGTATACAATCAGTGTGTAACCATGCTATGGCGATGTGTGACCTGGGTACTTGTATATGTTAGGTCTGATTACAATCAGTGTGTATCACATACTGTGACGATGTGTGACCTGGGTACTTGTATATATCACGTCTGAATACAATCAGTGTGTATCACATACTGTGACGATGTGTGACCTGGGTACTTGTGTATGTCATGTTTGAATATAGTCAGTATGTTTCACATACTGTGACGATGTGTGACCTGGGTACTTGTATATGTCAGGTTTGAATATAGTCTGTATGTATCACATACTGTGACGATGTGTGACCTGGGTACTTGTATATGTCAGGTCTGAATACAATCAGTGTGTATCACATACTGTGTCGATGTGTGACCTGGATACTTGTATATGTCAGTTTTGAATACAATCAGTGTGTACCCATGTCATGGCAATGCGTGACCTCGGTACTTGTATATGTCAGGTCTGAATACTATCAGAGTGTAACCATGCCATGTCGATGTGTGACCTGGGTACTTGTGTATGTCAGGTCTGAATACAATCAGTATGTATCACGTACTGTGACCACGTGTGACCTGGGTACTTGTATATGTAAGGTTTTAATATAGTCAGTATGTATCACATACTGTGACGATTTGTGACCTGGGTACTTGTATATGTCCGGTCTGTATACAATCAGTGTGTAACCATGCTATGGCGATGTGTGACCTGGGTACTTGTATATGTTAGGTCTGATTACAATCAGTGTGTATCACATACTGTGACGATGTGTGACCTGGGTACTTGTATATATCAGGTCTGAATACAATCAGTGTGTATCACATACTGTGACGATGTGTGACCTGGGTACTTGTATATATCAGGTCTGAATACAATCAGTGTGTATCACATACTGTGACGATGTGTGACCTGGGTACTTGTATATGTCAGGTTTGAATATAGTCTGAATGTATCACATACTGTGACGATGTGTGACCTGGGTACTTGTATATGTCAGGTCTGAATACAATCAGTGTGTATCATATACTGTGTCGATGTGTGACCTGGATACTTGTATATGTCAGGTCTGAATACAATCAGAGTGTAACCATGCCATGTCGATGTGTGACCTGGGTACTTGTGTATGTCAGGTCTGAATACAATCAGTATGTATCACGTACTGTGACCACGTGTGACCTGGGTACTTGTATATGTAAGGTTTTAATATAGTCAGTATGTATCACATACTGTGACGATTTGTGACCTGGGTGCTTGTATATGTCCGGTCTGTATACAATCAGTGTGTAACCATGCTATGGCGATGTGTGACCTGGGTACTTGTATATGTCAGGTCTGATTACAATCAGTGTGTATCACATACTGTGACGATGTGTGACCTGGGTACTTGTATATGTCAGGTCTGAATACAATCAGTCTGTATCACATACTGTGACGATGTGTGACCTGGGTACTTGTGTATGTCATGTTTGAATATAGTCAGTATGTTTCACATACTGTGACGATGTGTGACCTGGGTACGTGTATATGTCAGGTTTGAATATAGTCTGTATGTATCACATACTGTGACGATGTGTGACCTGGGTACTTGTATATGTCAGGTCTGAATACAATCAGTATGTATCACATACTGTGACGATGTGTGACCTGGATACTTGTATATGTCAGGTCTGAATACAATCAGAGTGTAACCATGCCATGGCAAGGTGTGACCTAGGTACTTGTATATTTCAGATCTGAATACAATTAGAGTGTACCCATGCCATGTCGATGTGTGACCTGGGTACTTGTATGTGGTAGGTCTGAATACAATCAGAGTGTACCCATGCCATGGCGATGTGTGACCTGGGTACTTGTATATGTCAGGTTTGACTATTATCCGAGTGCACCCATGTCATGGCGATGTGTGACCTGGATACTTGTATATGTCAGGTCTGAATACAATCAGAGTGTACCCATGCCATGTCGATGTGTGACCTTGGTACTTGTATATGGTAGGTCTGAATACAATCAGTGTGTAACCATGCCATTTCGATGTGTGACCTGGGTACTTGTTTATGTCAGATTTGAATATAATCAGAGT